TTTAGGTTATAGTGTTCTAGTATATGGTCGAAATGTTGAATACAGGGTTAAGTGGCCAAACTGCCAAAATGAACTAAGGACCTCAAAACAAGAAAAAAATTTCCTCTGAAGGTATGTCCTCAAACGGTTTATTTAGGAGATTTTCAAACCTTAAGATTTTCGCTGTTATGAATTATTTACTTTATATGAAACAAATAAAATATTTCTTCTAACTACTTTATTAATTAAATGTAAACATTAGCATTCATATTAAATGTTGTTCAAAGTGATTTCTTTGAGCATTAAGACACACTTGCCATCTCTTCTCAACAGCAGCAGTGACAGAACGGCACTGGATATGCGTTATTGTTTAACAAGATTCAATTATCCTTCTTCGTAAGGAATTAAGGCCATTGAACGGACTTGCATAGAATTTTTGTTTAATGTCACTAAAAAAAAAATCCAGTGGTGTCAGGTCTGGATAGTGTGCAGGGCAAGCCACTGGTCCTGCGCGGCCATTCCACTGATTGGGATATGGGATATGATTGAGTAAGTCCGGTCAATTACCTTAATTCCTTACAAAGAAGGATAATTGAATCTTGTGAAACACCAACACATATCCAGTTCCCTTCTGCCACTGCTACTGTTCAAGAAAGATGCGGAGCCTGTCTTAATGCTCAAGGAAATCACTTTTAACAACATTTAATATGAATGTTAATGTTAACATTTAATTAATAAAGTAGTTAGAACAAATAAATAGGTTTCATTTATTTCCTATAACATAAATAATTCATAACAACGAAAATCTTTAGGTTTGAGTATCTCCTAAACAAAGTGTTTGCGGACGTACCTTTAGATGAAATTTTTTTCTTTTTTTGAGGTCCTAGTTCATTTTTGCAGTTTGGCCACTTAACCCTGAAAAACCCTGTATAGATATGTTATGTGTTTTTTTAAAATTTACTTGTTTTTAAGTTATTTTATTTTATTTATTATATATACTTTTTGATTATGATGTAGTGGTTATTTTGATTCTGTTTATTTTATATTTTGTGTGAATTTGGTCTACCTTTCTACAACCATTGTCCATGTGACAAAATGTTATATTATTCAATAAATAAAAAAAAAAAGTATATGGTCGAAGGTTAAGTACCAACAAGTATTTAATAAACATTATAGAACTTTGAAAGACTATTTTAATATATTACATTATCGAAATTAAAAAAATATTTTGTTATCAATAAATGAAATGTGCACTGATATGAACGCACTACATGCCTAATACTAATAACACCTCTATAGTGATGTTAATCTACATTCATGGCACATAGAAGCGCTATTTTTTTGTTTGAGGAGGACACGAATAGCGTTGGGTTTTTGTAATGATTCATATCATTGATTAAAACTATGTTAACGCAAAAAAAATAATCATAATCTTAAGATCCAATTTGAAAACGGCAAAAAAAAAATCAAATTTCTTATATTTTTTCAACCATATCAACTAATCTACTATTTACATATCGATTAATTTTAAATTGTGGATGGGCCTCTCCTCCCGACGCTGCTATAGCTACATTCAATCTAAAAATGGAAAACAATAAATATTATAAAGTGTTCTACCTCTAACTTTCGGATTATCTTGCCCAGAGATTTGAAATTTATACAGTCTGTTTATATACGACCGAAAAGTATTGAGCAGAGGAAGAAATACTAAGGAGAATACCTCTAGCGAACCGCACATATTTCGTCCTCCAGAGGCTATGTTCAGTATGTTGGGATGCAAAAACAAGAATCCATAAAACACTTATTGACCGGTCCTTAGATGTGGCTCAGAATATTGGACAGTGACTAAATAAGTCCAGGAATAAGTCCTTCTCACAGATAAATGTTAAGAAAAATATACGATGGCATTTATGGAGAAGGAGAAATAATTCCGAAATAAGAGGCGTATATATGCACATTAATTAAATTATCGATGCTTTGTTGGGCGGGCCATGTAGCAAGGATGGGACCAAATGAAATTCCATATAAAGTTTTTCGAAGAGTTGGGCGTTTTAAGTTCTGCTGGGAGGACAGGGTGGCTACTGACTTGGTGTCCGGAACTGAAAGGTATCACACAGTGAGGCCGATAACCTATCTAGGACGAGATTCATTGACCATAGTTTTCGAATGGAAATCATGTATTTATCACAAATAATTATAAATAAAACTTTTATGGTTCAAATTTATTTAACATAACATTAATTTATGACAAAAATACAAAAAAAAAATTCCAGAGTTTTTTTAAAAATTGTGAAAAAAATTTACTATATTTGATGACCATAATTTTCTATTGTAAATTATTTATTCGTCACAAATAAATAAAAAAAAAGACTTTTATGATTAAAATTACTTAATATAACATTAATTTATGGCAAAAATACAAATATATATACACTGATAGGCAAGAAATTCCACCCACTTGATTTTTTCATGTTTTCATCTAAAAATATTTTACCCACTTGTAAAAAAAGTTGTATTTGTTTATAATACATGGTATTTGTAGATAATACTTAGTATTTATGGAATTTTATAATCTTTTTTACTTTTAATAATCAAAATGTGATTGAGTAAGAGAGATTAGAGAAAAAAAATTGAAAAACGAACCATTATTATTCTAAAAGAAATTAATTACATCATCGTTTAGTAGCGCGTGTTTTCTCCTCTTGCCTTCACTACTTCTTGAAGACGCCTCGGCATACTTTCCACCAGTCGGGAAATGTCCCTTTGCTGGAGGATAGCCCATTCCTCCCGAAGATCCCTTTCAAGGTCCTGTAGTGTCACAGGAAGTGTTGCACGCGCTCTTATTCGTCTTCCGAGGTTATCCCATAAATGCTCAATGGGGTTCAAATCTGGAGAACATGCTGGCCAGGCTAAAACCTCAATATTGTTCTGTTGAAGGAACGTCTGCACTATGCGGGCGACATATGGGCGTGAATTATCGTGCATTAGAATAGAACGATCGCCGATTTCGTTGAGGATAGGCAATACATGAGGTTCCAAAATCTCATCTACATAGTGAATGGCCGTCATAGACCCTCCACGAACAACAACCAATTCTGTGCGGCGCTCCATTGAAATCCCAGCCCACACCATTAAGGAACCACGTTGGAAAGGTTGGTTCTGGGAAAAATTACAGGCTGTATATCTTTCGTTTCTTCTTCTCCACACCCTTTCACGCCCGTCTGGAGATCGAAGAGCGAATCTTGACTCATCTGTAAAAAGTACAGCACTCCATTCGTCCATAGTCCAATGGCTGTGTTCTCGAGCTAAAGCCAGCCGTGTTACTCTGTGAGTTCTGGTCAACTCTGGTCCTCTTACTGGACCAAAAGCCATTAATCCATACTCATTTAATCTTCTCCGAGCGGTACGTTCAGAAATTTGCACACCTCGAACTTCTTCGAGCTGATGAATCGTTTGAACAACGGTAAGGTGCCGGTTTCGTAAAATTCTCAAAGTCAAAAACCGGTTATCCCGTGGTTCTGTTACCCTAGGCCGTCCAGAACCCGGCCTTCTATTGTAAGAACCAGTTTCCCGAAAACGCCTGACGGCGTCTCGTAAAGTCCCCCCTCCCAAAACTAAATCCTGGATCCGCTAGTGACGTCAACTATCCATTAGAGGAAATTTTGACCGCCATCATTGTATATATATGTATATATACATACATACACACACCTTAGGTGGATGGAATTCACATGTTTCGCAAGTGCACCCACCTCCCCATCAGAAAATTCTCGGACTGCTACGGCTTCTCACTGTCCAGACCACGTACGTTGATGATACATTTTTGTTATCTACAAAAATCACCTATCTTTCGCATTCCAAACTCTGCAGTTACGTTTCGACACTGAAAAATTAAAATAAGTCCCCAAAAATCCATCAAATCATTTAAGCGTCGTACAAAATCTGCGACCTCCTGTCACACTAATCTCTACTATATCAGTTCTGCAAGGGATAATTGTTTTACTTTGCGGAACAGATATAGTAAGTAGGATTCGTCCATTCGGTGACGACCGAGCAATTGAGGTGATTGCCAGAGGCGCCGACCTGGAGGGGTGCTCGCTGCTTACAATACAAAACGTATTAAAATAATTAATTTTAGCCTATCAACAAACTGTATTAGAGAAATATTGAATTATTGCATAGCATAAAACAGCTTAAAAAATAAGTTTAATTTTTTTGGAGGGGAGAGGTGACGTCATTGCCCGGAGGGCGCCGTATGTCTAAGGCCGGCACTGAGTCCACCTTTTTGACAAGCGGTCCAAACATCATATTAATTAAGAAACCTCTTATACATTACAATTATCATGCCTATTTTGGCTTAAGGATTTGAGCTTTAAGGTTCCTCTAATCCATTAAATTCTTTCGGAATCCAAACCGTACAATGAAAAAATCTTCGTTGAATCATTAATGGTCGTTATTATGCCACAAATAAAATTATCTTTACAGATCTGAATACTCCGTATGTTGTAGATTTGGTCTGGGATATATATACCTCTCCATACCCATTTACTTACATCTACATTTACCCATACTTATTTACCAACTCCATACCCATACAAACCTTTCATTACAACGTATTCCCCTAACCCTCGGTAAGTCTGAAAAGTACATGGCGATGAAGCTTTTTAAACTGCATCGGTACCAATGCGTAATTACTTCACAAGGTATGATTATGAATTATTAAACAGATTTCAAATTTACATGTTGTGTTGAAAAGTGCTTTTAGTAAATAAACAAAACATATATTACTTTAAAATGACTGTTTTTTTATTAAATGCCAAAATCCAGTAAACTTAAAACGTTTTTGGAAATTGAAGATAGTCGTTTAGAATGGTGACCAGTATAGAGGAAATCGGTATATTTTGTTAACCGAAAATTTATAAATACTTTTATTTATGAACTCTTCATTTACTGCATATGAATAATTGAAGTAATTTGTTATTGATACATCCTCTGGATTAATTATTTTATTTTATTTTTAGTGATTTCAAATCTAAAGACTCTGACCACGACCGTATTGATTGCTTACCCTGTGTAAAGTACAGTCAAATTGATGACGTAAACCTGGGATATAAACCTATTAATTCATACGACAACCATACAAATCATTCTGATTGGGACAATGTTCAAAAAGTTAATTCAGTGAACGAACAATCCAATTTGTTTGAACAAACATATCACAGTAAGTATGTTGTTTGTTAGTAACAATTTTTTTTATTTTTTTGCAAATCTATATTATTTATTTTTATTGAACTGCTCCATTATGAAATAATTACAGAATAATTTTAATTTTTAACGATCTTGTCAAGCAGTGATCCGATCAACATTCTTCACCTTGTGATTTCATTTTGTGCTGAAGAAGCAAAGAACTGCATAGGTTTATCCAACTCTATAATTCCACCCTTAATCGTAAATTATGTTCTTCGCAGAACACAGGAACGAATTACTTTAAATAATTGCAAAATGCAAAGGACTTCTCAATTCCTGTTCTGGTTTAGTCTGGTTGTAACAGAAAAATTATCTTCTGTTATATTTGTCGTGGATACTTGCATCATGGGGCTTGTTCTCCCCCTTGAAAGTTCGGAATAGTCCATAAATCTTACGATGACAGTCTGTCTATCATTACTTTCTATTTATGATTGTTAAAAATATAGTACATTAATGTTCATATTTTTTGTATTAATTATTTTTACTTTATATTTGTATGCCCATGCTTTCAATATACTGTTAAATACTGTTTACATTTAGACATGAAGGTGTGCGTATACATGATGACGGATTTGGCTTTACGAATGGAAATAGAAGATGGAACTAACGCTACGGTTCAAGATTTAGTACAAAGCATTACTCAAGAAGAACAGTTGCGTTTGCCTAGAGTAGCTTCCACCATATTCACACTTTGGATGTCTTCTGGATTACTAGGTTTTATGTGTTTTCCTCTCTTTATTTATCGAAATAGTATTGACATTATTTACTTTAATTTAAATTATCTATCATTACAATAAAGTTATTGTATTTTTAAGAATTACAACTGAAACCTCATCACAAGCCCCTTCACATAAGAAATAAGTGGCCAGTACTTCTAGCTAAATATGCTCACGCTTCAGAATCCAGACAAAGAAGAGACGAACCTGTTTTATCATTCAAGCGAAATGTCTTTTATCCTTTAAACCAAGAAGAGAGAATCAAGTAAACCATTTTTATGTCAACTGTTATTTTTTATCATTATTACTTGTTCAGTACATCTTAAGAGTAATTTTTTCTCTTGAACTTCTGCAATTTTCTCAACGTAGTACTACTTTTCATGCGATAATTAGGTTACTCTTCATTTAAAGGAAATTTAGAGTTTTTAAAGATTTTATTTATTAATATACTTTGTATGGTGGATCTTTAATTAAAATCCCCAGACGCCGGGACAAGAAATTATATTAAACAAATCTTTAGAATATTGTTGATAATTCATTTCATCAATGATTTTTGTCAACTGTCTTCTTGTGTATCAGAAAGATGTGAAAATTCCGTCTACCGCATTTTCGTTACTTTTACTTGCCATTTAAATCTTTTTCTTTTTTTTTTATAATATGATCACTGCAAATACACTGCCTCAACAATTATGTGCAGGCTCTCCGTCACTATTTTTCATGTTTTTGGGTTATACATATTATACCTAGATATATATTTGCATTTTCACCGATGAGTGATAAATATCGAATCTCTAGCGAGCTATAGGATCTGCTATATATCATTAGGGCTACTTTTAGAATATATTTAATTATTTCATATAAATAAATAGAAAAGAGAATAATAATTGCTAACACATGCCCGGTTACCTGTGGAATCCAACGACCCCTCAGGGCGTGCAGCCTTTTGTCAGGGACCATGAAGATAAGGACAGCCAATAAAAAGATTGGCACAAGACCCGAAAAGGGCAGTGTGATATAGTTAGTATAGTAGAGGACGGCGGGGTGGCTGAGTGTGCTAATGCGTGTGCACAGCACCGCGCGTTGCCCGGCAACCTGATAACCGAATTCAGACGGAAAAATATTACGAGTCCAAATCCCGGTACCCGGTAGGAATTTACCCCCGTGTAGGCTAAAAGGCAAGGAAGGTGAGAACAAAAAAAAAAAAGAAAGTCTAGTAGAGCCAACAGAGGGTTGAAGGATTCAGCTTCGAGTCATGAAAAGAAGAGGTCAAGCCTAGAGGCTAAGTCGTAAAATTCATTTAGTATTACCAATGTAAGCTTGAGTGACAGTCAATAACAATAATAAAGTCATTAGCAATATTAGTAACTTCAATCAGTCATATTCTCAATAGCATTCTCCTAATATAATTATCCAATATGTATATGTTTTGTTTAAATTTATAAATAGACTGATTATTATTCAATCTTGATATTTTAATAATCTCCCTTGCATTCCACCATTTAGATATAGATACAAATAGTAAATTTCTAAACATGACACTCTTTGAAAAGATATCCAATCAGATTATTCAATCTAGGATACTACAGTAGAAGGTCTGTGGTATCTAACCCTTAAATACACCATTCATATAATTTTAAGTAGATCGGTTCCCTTATGGAGTCGATTGAAATATAAATATTAAATACATTCAATAAAAATAAATGCGGTTCCTGGAACCCCCTAGTCGCCGTAGAAACGCGATGTGCAGGAACATAGCAAATCTCTAGTTTATGTTTCTGACAACAGCAACTAGACGTGAGGTTCAAAATACTTGACGACTTATCGCATACAAAGCTCTAAACAAATATGGAAGGAATGATTTAGAAAGTGGAATATGAATAGAAAAAAAACACTGTTTTCAAGAATATTATATTTAGTTATTAAATAATAAAGCAAATAAAAAAACAAAACAGCTATGTCGGGGTTAGTTCCCCTCACTTTTTCATTCACTGATTCCCATTAAATAGTCCAACGACATATTACGTACTAATCTTAATATTTAATACTAATAAATAATTTTTGGTTTTTGAAATGTTATATTTATTTTAGAGATGAAAAAATTTTGGAATTGCTGTATGCCGAAGCAAAATATAATATTTTGGAAGGACGATACCCTTGCGATGTGACTCAGTATATAATGCTCGGTAGCATACAAGCAAGAATAGAACTTGGTCCTTACAATCCGCAGTATCACACTCTGCATTTCTTCAGGTAAATTTGTATGACTTAAACATTTAAATGTATTTATCCTACGAAAGCGAGCATTTGATAAATTAAAATAGTTTGTTACTTATACCAACTATTGAAATTTTTATTAAAACTGTATGTTAAAGAAATATAAGTAAGGTATAAAATGCTGATGAGCTGTAATAACAACTGAAAGTTACGTGTTCATAAAACTCTCTGTTATATTTGTCCCATGACTATCCTTTTGTCGACTTAGAGAGCAGGTCACAAAATGGTAAGCAAATATAATTTTATGAATTTAAACATTTATCCCTTTAAATGAAAATATTTATGTCTACTTAGATGAAAAAAAAACTCATTCCTAAGTTTATTTACTCCATGCTACTTCGATCATACTAATAATTTCGCTATTTCCAGAGAGCAACAAAGCCGCTTTTTACCTTCTCATATTAGAAATATGAGTTGGAATTCCTGTTTAAGACTGAACAGTAAGGATGCTCCTGAAGTGAGACTTTTGGAACAATACAGAAGATTGCCTGATAGGAAATTACACAAGAAGTATTTAGAATTTTGTTGGACGCTTCCATATTATGGGTAAGGGAACTTGATACTATCTATGTACCTTGTTTTTGTACATACGGTTAAGTTTATCTTATTAGTTATCATTGAATACCACTGTCCAATTTCCAAAAATTGACTTCTCACGTCAGATTTATATGAATTTACTGCTTAAATACTGAAAATTCCATAAATATAATGTCTGGACCTTAAAAATAAAATTGACTTAATATTCTTAATCTGTCATTGTTTGAGTGAAAATAAAAATGTACAGATATCGCATAACCTCAGTACTGCTATGCACGTAATGACCTATAGTACCTTTTCTATGATAAAATAATGTATGATTAAGTAGAATCAGTAAATAATGAATGTTTATATATCCGTGTTTATGTAAATTTGTGTTTTCCATTCCTTGTATTTATATGTTGCTTTGTTAATGTTTGAGATGAAATCGTAGTTCATTTGAGAGGAGAGAAAGCAATTAATTAAATTTAAATTTTATCTTTATTTTTTGCAATACTCTTTCCTCTATTTTTTTAAATTCCTAACAATTCAAAATTGTCACGTTTTATTATTAATTAAACATTTCTCATTTTTATTATGTTTTTGTTCCAGTTCGGCATTTTTCCAAGGACAGATCGAACAACCAGTGAGAGGTCTAAAGTCTCTTATCACACATCAAGATATTCCGGTTTTAGTGGGAATAAATGGGCGTGGAGTATATATTATCAATAATATTCATTACGTAAGCTTTTTTTTTTACATCCATTGTTTGTTTGTTTATTCAGTTGATAGCAAAAACTGTCAGTAAATGTACTTTTCCATATTGAGTAATGTTAAGACTGAACTTCCTCTTAGCCTACTGTAAATAAAGTCAACCTCTCAGCCTGAGAGTCCCAGGCCATCCTCATAGGTTCTTAGCATTTTCTTGATTATCTTCCGTATTATTCTTTACTCTGCCTCAATGGCCTGTCTATTCACTTCCACCTGCTAGAAACAATGAAGTCAATTTTGATCAACACCTGTCCTAGATTAACCATTTTTCCAAAATTGATTACTAATCTCAAACAGTTTCAAGATAGATACATCCAGTTGATATGAAGAGTTAAAGTGACTTTACCGTATTTTCCGTCTGCAATACTTCTGAGGTATCTATCTTTTCTTGTCCTTAAGACCATTTTATTTGTTTACCACAAATTTCTCTGTTTATTCTTATACTCGAACTAATATACTCCCAAACGACTCAAATCCGTGAGGAGTTAGGCTGGTCTCCAAACCCAGGTGGTGGATCGGGGAAAGCTCATCAGATATGGCGAGTACTCGGGAAATAAAATACCCAAGACGGGACAAAACCAGCCAGGGAAGGGAGGGCTTCCAAGCTATGGTAAAGGTAGCCTCCCTAGGGCACGAGAAACCTGATATTAAATCTCCTGGTTCTCCAGGTCGGGTGTTGGGCTAATAACTCAAACTCGAAAACAAGTCAATTTATTGTGAGTCCTAAAGAAAGAAAAGCCGGACTGATCCTACGGTTACGATATAACACCCGCCTGAAGGACATTCGAGTAGGATAATGGAATGCATTGTCGCTTAATCGAGTTAGAGCATTACAGCTGCTCCTAAACCAATTGGACACTCATCGGATTGATATAGCTGCAATCCAGGAAATCCGATGGCTTGGAAATGGAATGATAAGAAAGAATGACCACCCCGTATGTTATTGCTGCAACGAAAGACATCACACTTTCGGAACAGGGTTTGTTATGGGTAGTAGGGCATCTCAGCTTGTAAACAGCATCGAACCGAACAATCCTGGATTGTGCTATCTAAGACTAAGAGGCCAATTCTACAATTTTAGTCTTCTCAGTGTACATGCCCCGATCGAAGTTCCTGAGGAAGAGGAAAAGGATTTATTTTACAGTGCTGTGGAACAATGCCTTGGCTGATGCCCGCGCTCTGATATAAAACTAGTTACTGGCGATTTCAAAGCACAAATGGGGAAAGACTCTGTCTTTCGGCCCACCTTAGGAAAACACAGCCTCCATGATGAGTCTAACGATATAGGAAGAGATTTGTCCACTTGGTAGTATCTAAGGGATTGGTCGTTGGCATACATTGTGGGAAACATTTTTTCCCATGAATGTAACCACCTTTCCACTTGGAGATCTAACGAAGGGATAACTGCTAACCAAATTGACCATGTACCCATTAGATCAAGGGACGAATTATGCCTCTCAGATGTGAGAACTTACAGAGGAGCCAACGTGGACTCGGATCATTATCTCGTTGTGACAAAAATAAAATCTAGACTGTCAATAATTTGATATCGTAGGATCGTTCGACTACCAAAATTCCACGTTGAGCTACTAAAGGTCCTTTACAGTTAAAACCATATGCTAATGCTAACGACGAGATATTTCCTCAGATCATCACGTTGAAAGATACGGTTCAGGATTGGGAGGTTTACAAACTCGCAATAAATGAGATGGTCAGTAGTACTCGGTTATTAAACACTAAGTAAACGGTTATTACAACCAGGCATCTGTGGTTTGATGAGGTGTCCCAGAATAAAGTTTAATTTTCATGTCATCAATTTGTTTCCGTTTTTCTTTACATAGGAATTTATTATAATTATGAATTTGTTGCAGACTCTTCTTGTTGGATTGAAGTATGAAGAATTATCATGGGATTTTGCAAAGCCTTCCCAAGAGGATAACCCAGACTGCCTTCCATGTCTTTTCCTTCAGTTTCGAGTTGTTGAAAATGGAACGAAAGTATCGAAAATTCTTCAAATATTTTCCAAACAAGTAATTTCATTAGTTCTTATTTATTCCACTTGTATGTATTATTTTTATTAAGTATCATGTTGTCAGTTAGACATTTTTGGATCTTCTGTATAGAATAGAACTAAGCGCTGCTAAGAAATTTTAGGATTCACATATTGGTCATTGTTACGAAAAAAAAAATCTGTACTACTACAATCCATGAAGGGTCTTGGGGGAGCAGTACAATGTAAAGAAGTACTTTTTCAATGCCAACGGTCGTGCAGAGAGGTGATTGGGCTTGGATCACGCTCAACTGCCAGGTTTTCCTCCTTAATTATTTTACAAAGAGTACTTACTTTATAGAGGTTGGGTGTGCCCCAAGAGGTTCTCCGTACCCATGGTCGATCCACAAATGGTGAAAAATTACTTGTCATCAGCCGGATTCAACAAATCCGGGACCTTGCGCTAAGGAAGTCAGTGGTTACCCACTAAGCTACCCGTTCCCTGGTCATTCTTATGATACTTGTCAAATTTGCAATTTTTTTTACTTTGAGAATTTGTTATATAACTCTAATTATTATATTGCAGTTCCATTATTTAAACTTTTTCATGTATTGATGATGGGTCAATTACTAATGGAGAAATATTTACATCTGAACTAAATTTTAAATTTTGAAATTCAAAAGTCTCAAGTATGTTACTTTTTACACACTGGTCAACCAAAAAATTCATTACTAAAAATATTCCCAGCAAATATTGAAAATATTTTTTAAAAAACAACTTACATGTGATTTCTAAATATTAAAGGTAGTAAACATTTACAATTCCAATGGTTGTGAGGTAATATGGAACATATGTCTTCAGAATATTGAAAACGATTGCACAAGTATGTTACCACTATTATTTAGGGAAGTATTCGTTTAATGAGGTGAGGATCCTGAACACATCTTACCTTGGGTGAAGTGAATTCTTATAAAATAACAGATAATATTCTATTTAAATACTATAATAGTAGACAAGCCTCTGTTGATTTGCTTCGGAAGGAAAGTGGTTCTTTTTTTATTTCAGTTTCTGTATGTGAATCTTTATCATAGAACATCAATCATGTTCATTAGGGTGGTTAGATCCAGCGAACTGTATTGAAAGCTTTGAATTTTAGATATATTTTTGTATTATTATAGCTATAAATACTAAAAAAAAAAATCAATTATTTCTTGCCTTTTCTTGTAGGATTGTTTACAATTTATTCCTACAAACGATTCTTTCACGGGAAAAAGTGTATTGAAAAAATTATATAATTAAAGGTTTATGTGATCTTGTTTTTTTGATAGTAAATTGTAATAATTTTTTATAATTTAATAATTTGTGTAATTAAATAATTTGTGTAATATCCTCTGTTATGCACTACCTCTTTGTACCTATCGAGTATACTGTTTATAATGTTGTCACTGATTTGACAAGAAATTTCATACCATAAACATGGTAATACTGTCCTCAGTTGCTGAAAGTTAAAGAACTACATATGGTAGCCAAAAAGCCTTCTCTGCAGTGCGTTCCGCATGTGCTCAATGGGATTGAGATCTGGAGGCAATAACGGAAGGGGCATATGTGAAATGTCCTGATTTTCAAGCCATTGATCAATAATTTTTCCCCTATGAGGTCGCGCATTATTCTTCAAGAAACTGGAAATCTGTGCCAATTATGGCCATGATTTCAGGAATTTACTCTTCCATAAGTTCTAAACATAACTATCAACTTCCACAATATGAAGTAGAGTTTGTTCTCCTGAATAAATTTCACCTCAAGATTGCATTGAAGGGAGCACTGTGGCAGTGTACTATTCCTCTGTTCTCGGTACACTCTTCGGCGCCTACGATCGCCATAAATACAGAAAAATGACTTGTTTGTAAACATAACAGCATTCCAACTTGTAACCTCACCTAGGCGCTCGCTGCACCGTGATCTGCGGAGTTGCAAGCTATGCACTGTTCCTGTAGACCGTCTTACATAAAGGGGCAAGAACAACTTCCCACTAACGATTATAGGCCTTGGCAGAACATTCAACACTTCATTCAGGCTCTGTTGGGCACCAGGGGTGTCCAGAAGGTGGTTTCATGACGCAAAATGCGTTCTCACAAATATTTTTTGGGAGCCATATTTAATCGATTTTTGAATTTTTAAGGGAGGCAAATTTCGATGGGGTTATGGGTTTTCGGACTAAGTGACGGCAAGAGGAAGACGTGGAACAGACTGCAGCAAGGATAATTATATATGATATACGATTTTTCTAATTTTGCCCTGTTTTTAAGAAACGGTGAGCAATAAAATACCTTGGGAGGGAAGGAGGGGGTACATTCTTGCTCCATCGACCTTGGGGAGAACGGACACCTCTGTCGGGCACTATGAAAAAGATTGCTTTTTGCACTAATACCAATAATGCTGTCATCCCTTGGTGCCGTAATGTGCTAAGATCCACTAACGGGTCTCCTATTCGTACTTCCGGTTTTTACGAATCTGGTTGAAGCTCGGGAGACCACAATGTGGGAGGCGCCAACTGTATCGGCGATATCCACTAGCTGGTGCCCTTGACCGCCCATTCTCACGATAATATTACGAACTTCTGGTTCAATATGATGTCTTTCCTTCGTTAAACAGCATATTAGTATTGTTAAAAATTGAGGATTAAAATTGAGAAAAGTCAAAAACAGCTGTTGGTTTACAAAATGAGTATTCTTCATGTTGACTATCTTTTACTTGATAATTAATTAAAAACAAAGTATACTTGATTACTTTTTATGTTTACCAATTGTAGTGCACAAAACAAAAGAGTTAATTTATGTGGCACTGACTGCGCATTAAGGCAGTGCAGAGAGAGAGAGAGTCAGATGTTTTTAGGAGATTGAAGGGAACAGTGATTGGAAAAGGTGAAGAGACCTACGTGCGTTGGAGGAAACATTAGTTCTATCTTCTCTCTCTCTCTCTCTCTCTATATATATATATATATATATATATATATATATATAATGTTTTTTTGTTTCTAGGCTGTCATGATGGATGCCTTAATAACTGGATTTGTTGAAGAATTGAAATTGAAATTGTCTTCAAACACAATCCCGAATAACAATATTGATCGATCAACCACGATATTTGATAATAATTTAAATATTGATGGTAAGTATTTCTACTAACTTTTTAATACAGATATGTAAGTATATGAATAATTGTGTGTATTATTTTATAAACAACAAACAAGTTCATTACTCTGAGATATCTTACTTAGATATGAATCGCCTATTTCTTTGGAACTATCTTTCTCCTAAAGTAATTACTCTTATTCGATAAATCTTGCGGAGTATATAGTTGAGGGTGAAGTTAGTGCAAAAACTTAGAGCCGAATAAGGGGTGCCATTGCTGCGAAACGAAAATTATGTTCGCAGAAATTTCCTCTCGCCTATGCTTTAAAATTTTCAAATATGAAGGTCGGAATTTTCATTTGTACAATTTAGAATTTTCTAAAATTTCGAATAGTTTCTTTCCAATGATTAATTCCTTCCTCTACTTCAGTAAATATGTAACTTAAAACAATTCACAGAATAGTTATCATAGCCTATAAAATGATTCAATGATGAATGAACTTTGGACCTAAATAGAGGAAAAAGTGAATGATTCGAAATAATTACATAGTTTCTTTTATTAAAGCCAAATTTAAATTTTTTATTCCATTAAGCCAATTTTTTTGGATTTTATGTGTGTCGGTTTTTCCTACAATTTAAAAAAAAAATTACTATCGCGCTGATCAAAAATTTTTTTTCTTAAGCTCTGATTTTAGGATAGAATCTTCTTTAGCGATATTGTTTATCAGATATATTTATAAGCATTTTTAGTTACAATAAAAAACTGCTTCTACTATAATTTATTAATTATTTTTCTTGTGATAATCTTGTAATTCCTATTTTTTTTTCTTTGTTCAAATATCTTTTTGAATCGTCTACTTTTTTTAAAATTTATGATGATTATTTGTCATTTTAGACTAAATTAGATAAGTTCCAAGTAATCTTTGGTAATGAACCAGGAATAAAAAATAAAATAAAAAGTTGGTATTGGAAATTTCAATATCAAAAATAACCCAAATATTTAAATTGCTTGATAATAATTTATCATGAGCGTCTGCGGCTCAAGTACTCACACTTACAATGTCTTCATTGACTTTCAATATTACCGACGCAGCATGAAAAAAAGGGTGCCCATTCCCCCAAGGTACAAGGCGCAAGAACCTACTTCCACCTCTCCCTAAGATATTTTATTGCTCACCTTTTCTTAAAAACAGAGTAAGCGAAGGTAGAATTAGAAAAATCGGAAATCATATACAATTACACTTACTGTGGCTTGTTCAATGTTTTCCCCTTGTCCCTTAGTCCGAAAGTTCATAAACCCGTCTAAATTTGCCCCCCTCGAAAATTCAAAAACGCGTCACAATATGCCCCCCTTTCCCTAACAAATTTTTATGGCAGCATGAAACCCCATTCTGGGCACCCCTGGGATCTCCTAGGGTCCTGCCTTGCCACCCATTTGATGGGACAAAGATTGCTTCGAAGCTATCCTTGATGTACCAACAGTATTGTGCTTTGATTTGGACGTTTTTAAAATACATAATATATGAATATTTTAAGAGTTATTTTTGTTATAATTGTTTATTTGCTTAATTTTAATAATTGATTAATTTTGGCTGTATTTAACACTTTGACTGCAACAACTATAATTTTAATACATAGTAAACATTAGACACGACGAATTTCATCGTAGCTGCAAAAATATGGCACCTGAATCAACTAAAATATAACTTGCAGTTGACATTCTAGTCAAGAATACATTATCTTGTAGATGAGTAGTCTAATTGTTAATTTACTTATCTAAAATACCTGTGATGTATTTATTTAGTTTTATTTTATTTCATTTACTTATTATGGTTTAGTTCTTTTTTTTTTTTGTAGATATTCGAACGAAAACGTTTAACGGCTCTAGTTATTTATTAGCTTTCGACCGGGTGTGGCATGATGGCTTGCTTTTCAAACTCAAAACCCACTTACCCCAATCCTTGTACCTAGTCCTCAAATCCTATCTCTTAAATTGTTCCTTTCAAGTCCGCTGCGGCACTGAATTCTCCAACTATTATCCAATTGAGGCTGGTGTTCCACAGGGCAGTGTCTTGGACCCAGTCCTCTTCATCCTCTTCACCGCTGACATTCCAACCAATCCCGATACCCTTCTAGCAACTTTCGCGGACGATACCGCCATCCTGTCATCCCACCTAGATCCTGAAACTGCATCCTTAAATCTACAAAGACACATCTCCCTAATTGAGCAATGGTGCAACAATTGGCGCATTAAGATCAATGAATCCAAGTGCAAGCATGTCACCTTTACCCTCCGACGCAGATCCTGTCCACATATCCTTTTCAACTCTGTACCTCTCCCCGTCTCAGACACAGTTCGGTATCTTGGATTCCTTTTAGACAAAAGACTAACTTGGAACCCACATACTAGACTTAAAAGACAAGAACTTAACCGACGATTTGGACAGCTATACAGACTACTTAACAGAAAATCCAATCTATCAATAGAAAACAAACTATTAATATACAAGACCATACTCAAACCCATCTGGACCTACGGACTTGAACTGTGGGGGACAACTAAATTTTCGAACATCAAACGCATCCAATCCTTTCAGTTTAAAGTCCTTACATCATGGCCTTTACATCACTTATGTCCTTGACGTTATTCCATCCCGATTCTCAAATTTTCACCTGAACCTAATCCACCATCCTAACCCCTTAGCACAGTCCTTATCTAGCTACAGTCATTCCTACAATCCTCCTTGAAGGTTGAAACGGCAGTGGCCTCGAGATCTTTTGTAAAAACGTCACTAGAGTTCTGGCCATGGCCAGCTTTTCCACTCAAGTCATGAGTGTTTGTGGCTTTAGTGCCCTCTCTTAGTCTCCACCGGACTGATAATGCCGGCGATGCGGCTGAGTGAGAAGCGCTGGGATCTCTTAGGTATCGCTTTGTCCTTCACGCGTGGGGGGAGGGGGAGGGCTGGACTCGGTGGTCTCTTGCCTGATTGTAAATATTGTAATTAAGTATGAATGTTTTTCTATTTATTTCTTTTACTTGTAATTTATTTGATTTTGCTACGGATTTCTATATTTTATTTAATTTTAACTCTAAGTTATATTTTCTTGGTTTATTATAGTTTTTGCCTTTGTTATATAGATGTATATTTTTTTTGTTTATTTTTTTTTTTTGTTATTGTATTGTATATATGGTATGAATGTGCCTCACTCAGCTTTAGTACTCAGTGCCCTTAAGTGTGGCAAAATGTATTATTTCTCAATAAAAAGATATAGATAATAAAAAAATAAAAATAAAAAATATTTATTGTTGAGTTTAATAATTATTGTGTTTTTTTTTTCATCACATCTTCATCCCACACCTATCATAAGCTTGACAATTAACAGACGTGTTGTTGTTGTTAAGATAATTGGCATTTTATGTGTGAGGAAGAAGAAGGTTTTTAATTTATAAAAGAATATCCTCCACATTAAAAAAAAAAATACTGTTATTCTTAAAATGTTCATGTTTTTAGTAACTATTTATACTTTTTCTTTTAAGGTGCAGCTACAAGAAATGACTCTTCTCCCAGTTTTCTGACTAATAAACTAAGAAAACTCACTCTGGCTACATTTGATGAAGAAGGTATTTAAATAATTAATACAGCGATTGTGTATATTGATAAAATGATATATTTTATAGAACATTCGTAAAGGGGTAGGTATTGATTAAAATATTGAAACGTTATTCAGTTAATGTTGGCTTATAACCAGAGATGCCCAGAAGGGGGTTTCATGGCGCAAGTTGCGCCATCAAAATTTTTAAGGGGTCACATTTTAACGAAGTTTTGAATTATTGAGGGAAGCACATTTCGGATGGGTCGTGAATTTTCGAAATGGAAGGTTTCAAGGCAGGGACAAAGAGAAAACAGGGAACAGAACGCAGCAAGAGCTTAATTAGATTTGATCTACGATCTTTTAAATTTTGTTTTCGTTTGCACTGTTATTAAGAATGGGAGGGAAATAAAATATCTTGGAAGAGGAGGGGGAAGGTTCATCCGCCATCGACTTTGTGGGAAATGGCCATTGGTGCTTATAACTTCGTTATTACGTTTTCTTTTAGTAATACTCAGGCATGATTCAAGATAGCGTGTCTTATAATGTCCTGTGACAACGAAGTTACATTGCTATTATAAAATACATTTCTCGAAAATAGAATAGACTAGAAAAAAAACTTTATTCTGGAACGAGGTCCTTTAAGAATAACAATTATGAACACAAAATAAAAACCTCATCTGGCCAAAAGTTACATTAATGAAAATAAAATAATATATACAACATCTTCAGTGAAAATATATTATAACAAATAAAAAAATAGAAAAAAAAAAACACTACTGAAATGAAAAGAAAAACATAAATCAGGAGAAAAAAAAAAATCGATATCGGTCGTATAATATTATATCTCTGATTGTATTTTAAAATTGTCAGCCCTGAAGATGACCCACATGTTTGGGTTGAAACGTTGGCACAAATAAAAAAATTTTATAATGACTCCGTCCTGAATATTCATCACACATCATATGTAGAACAGTCGACTAACTTCCTTCAATAATTCAAAAAAACAAAATGATATAAGCACTATGGGTTGATTCTTAAAATTAAAACTCAAACATTTTCAAGAACCATTTACCTCAATCAAAATTTGATTTATAATATTTATTTCATTGTATAACGTCATTTTGGGTCGTGAAAAGGAATTGACAGAGATGATAATCGAATGAGGACAAGGAAGAGGCATGGCGGATATCAGATGGCAAGGAATTCCAGAAAACAGTGGATCGGGAAATAAAGGAATATTCAAATGTGTTAGTGCTATCGGAAGGGGTATTAGGTCGGAAACACGGGATCTTGTTTTCTGGAGGTGGACCACGGCTTAGAACTGTAGGAGACTATAGATGTAGGAAGATTGTCGAGTGTTGATCGTTTGGAATAGGAAAGAAACAAGGAAATATTGTCGGAAGGAATGAACCACTTTAGCTCTTCGTAAAGGTGGGACACATGAGACCGCCTCGATATACCGAAGACAAATTTAAGCAAGAGTTCATAAGTCGCTTCAATCTATCCTCGAGTACCATCGGGATGCCTCCGTACTCCACACAGACGTAGTCAAAGTAGGAGAAAATAAGAGAGGATACAAGGAGCTTGCGGATAGGTTGTAAGAGTAGGTGACGGGAGCGATGAAATAACTAAGGGTACCTATTGACTTTCGGGAGATAAGGGCGATATAGGATTTCCAGGAGAGGTTTTCGTCAAAGGTGATTCCTAGGCTTTTAATGGAAGAGCTAAATGTGATGGGATGATCTTTGATGACTAGAGGAGGAAGGTAGGGGATAGATTTAAGAAGAGAACGTGAACCTGTAATAATGGTCTGAGTTTTCATTGCGTTTATGTTATTTTTTCTGTATTTTATTTATATATTATTTATTGTCTATATGTTATTTTTTATAAAATATTTTAGTTTTCAAATATCTTTAAACACGAAATATGAAGATAGATTTATTTGCGGATTCGAGGAAATAGTGTAACAACGTTTTTATTTAACAATGTGAAATAATATGAAAATATGTTATGCCTTGAAATGTTGGCCATAAAGAAGTCAACAATAAATAAAAAAAGATAAAGGAAGATTTTTATTCAAAATTTCCTTAATTTAAATATTAGATAATCTTCTAGTTTAACAACCACCAATTGAATAGCCCTGATGAAGGTCTGAAACCTTGACCGAAACTTTGGCATAAAAGAAAAAAAAATTATTACTGTAACTGGAGTAGCAGTTAGAGAGTAGCCCCCCTTCAACCAAACCTTATTATCGATCGTCAACTGTTTCTTCATCCTTATGTGATCTTTTAACTTTGTAAAATATAAAATTAGTTTTATTATACTTTGTACCCAAAAATAAAGAATACTTTAAATATCTGAATATTTACACTAAATATTCTTCATATATTGGCAAAATATTTAAATATTGTAGCTGAAAGTAATTAATAGAGTGCTTTAATATCTTGGAAATTATTTTTTTTCCCGTTGTTTTGACCACCATTTTGTGGCAAAATACTAAATGGAATATATATATATATATATATATATATATATATATATATATATATATATATATATATATATATATATATATATATATATATATATATATATATATATATATATTTTACATCGTATTTTATTATATATATAATATTCCATCTAGGGGTGGGGCACTTGCGAAACAGGTGAATTCTATACACCAAAGGTGTATTATATATATTATACACTTTTGGTGTAAGGAATTCACCGGTTTTCCAAGTGCGCCTTCCCTCAGAAAATTCCTGGTCCACAAGCACTTCCAATCCGGTCCGCGAATTTTTTTGATTTGACAAGGTAAAATTTTAAAAATTATTGAAAAAATATGATATTTAGTAAATTACTCACACAAAAGTTCGTACAACATTTATTGCATTGTTATTTTCTTTTATAAAACTCATCTCACATCTAAAGTGTCATTTAAACAACATGGTCATTTTTACTTATATGGAGGTCTCAATGTGGCTCGCGGGCCAAAAAGTTTGGAGACACCTGGCCTACAGTAATAATTACTACATAGTTGTTATTATATATATATATATATATATATATATATATATATATGTGTGTGTGTGTGTGTGTGTGTGTTTAGCTTTTTTTGTATTGGGTTAAAAATCAGAAACTCCAGCGTATATTTAGTAGATGATATCTAAATTATAATGTCTTTGTATTGTCTTTAAATTTGTCACTTGGGCTATTAGAAATTAGTTGTTAAAAAAAAATATATTAGGCTTTTTTATTTCGAGTTAAAAAATAAATTTCATCTTGTTCAGTCAGAACATGAGAACGATTGAGTTTCTGGACTTTAACTGCAGACCATCGTTTCACTCCATCAGTTTTCAACACTCACGGTAGATTGGAGTAATCGGTGTGGTTGAGTTCCGATAGAATTCCAACCGGTTCACACACTCCCAAAAAATCCACACATGATTTCTCATTCATGGTTCCATCTAGTATAGTGTTAGGGGTGGAGTGATCCTCAGTGGTCGACTTTAGGATATAATTGGAAGTCAACAATTTATTTATTCACCTGCATTTAGCCTTGTTTTTGAAATCTTCCAACTTTATCTTAACAATTATTTATGTTTCTTTCTGTTTTTTATAACAATGATTATGTAAACCAGCCATATATCCATTATTATTTTTTTGTACGGGACATGTGATCTTGATTGTTTCTATCCTGATGATGTCTGAATCCTCCAGACGTTGACAAGTTAATTGTTAACCTACATTTCGGAGACTATACTTCGCGTTTGGTATCTTCCAATTATATCCTATATTAACTCATATAATTTATAAAATTTTAATAGCTTAATTATGAATACAGTACCTACATCCCACATGTAGTTTTGTTGACTGTCCATAATTGTTCTAGGTCGCTGCATAGGACAAATGGGATCTTGGTCCTTCAGTTACTGATACATAGATAAAAAAATAAAGCAACATTCCTTGTAACACTGTAAATAAAGCAAAAATGCCCGCTCACATGCTTCAAATTAAAAAATGTAATTATATTGTAAATACTTACTTTGGATTTCTGTAAGTATAATAATGAAATAAAATTAACATATTTTTAATTCCCCAATATGCATCTTTGTCCCATCCTGCCAATTATCAGATACTCAACTCTTTGTATAAGATAACAAGAATTTGTGTTTGGAGGTATTTTATTTAAAAATTTTAATTTCGTTACATTATACTAAAACTTACACAAATAAAATACAGAATTTTACAGATGAGTAATACCTATGTATTCTCATATACGCTGGTGAATAATTAAGTTTAAAGATCAAAATAGCTATGGTAAGGATGGGCGATAGTTAATAGTATTATCGATATACCTGTCGATAGTCGTGTCCTCTGAGCCACAAATTAATCTCCATTTATATATACTGATAGGCATAGGCGCAGACTTTCCATTTTGGTTGGGGTGGGATGGAACCCCTCCCCAAAAAATAAATAAAGTCTTGAGAGTTTATATTATGTAGGTATAAACATTATGAGTAATAGATGGATAGATAGATGGAAAAAAACAACTTTATTCTGGGTCAAATTATTTTATAATGATTAGCATATTCAACATAATTATTGTAAAACGAACTATATACAAAAATAAATATTGGGTTGGCAAATAAGTCCTTTCGGTTTTTTTGTTTATTTTTTTCACTATGATACAATTCTTATCTGATGAATTAATCCCTAAGGTGGATTGTTAATCCTGTTTGTAATATGTCAATAATTATATCTGTTAACTCTTATTGAAACTAGCTTACTATTGTTTGCTATTGCACTGTGAATATGGAAGAAAATATTCATTATCGGCATATTTTGTTATATTATTTTTAAAAAAGTAAGCGTGTTACTAAAGCTCATAGAAAAATTTGCAGTGTTTATGGAGATGATGCCTTAACCGTCAAAATTGGTTTGCCAAATTTCATTCAGTAAATTTTGACATAAATGATGCTCAAAGGTCTGGTCGCCCACATGAAATTGGAAGGAGCAATGTTAAGGCCATTGTTGATCAAAATTCCTCCCAATCAGTGCGAGAGATTACTATGGCCCTAAATGTGTCGCACACAAGCGTATAAAACCATTTGCATAGAATCACGGAATCTCCGCAACTGTTTTAGGGTAGCAATGGATTTTCGGATAATTTGGGAAACATGATTATTCCAGAAGAGGTATTGATCGAAAACTACTCCTAAATTTCTAACAGAAGTATGGAAACAAATAGGTAGAGAAGGGGATAGTATGGGGTTGAATTAATAAGATGCTTAGAACCAATGAGAATGGCTTTGGTCTTCTCGACGTTCAACTATAAATCAATACTCGCTGCCCAAGTGGCAATACTGTTTATATCTTCTTGTAGTCTTGGAATCGCCTCAAGTATCTCAGTAGGATAAAAGCAAAGGTAGATTTGGAGATGCTCAGCATACAAGTGGTATTGTGAATGGTGTATGGAATCGGGAAGGTCGTTGACGTATATGGAGAAAAGAGTTGGAAAGAGGGAAGATCTCTGAGGAACACCAGGAGTTAGTGAGAGGGGGAGAAAGGGGTTTTATCGGGTATAAGGACTGTTTGCGATCTGTGATACAAGAAGGAAGGGAACCACTTTAGGGCACTGTTTGATATGGACAAATTTTGGAGTTTGGAAAGGATTTCATAATTATCGGAATCGAACCCTTTTGAAAACTCAAAGAGGATCAGGATGGAGATTTTTTGTTTGTATATGGAGAAATGAAGGTCTTGGGTGATTTAAAAAAAAGCAGATTGGGTTGAGATCTGAGATCGGAAACCAGACTAAAGGGGATTGAGGAGAGCATTATGCTCAAGAAAGGTATCAAGCTGTGAATAGGCTAGTCTTTTGAGAGGTTTAGAAGGGTTGGAGATGGGTCTGAAATCGGAAACTTTGCTCATTGAGCGGACTATAACTTTTTTCCAAGCTGATGGAAAACTGGAATTTTGTAGAGTAAAAATTGTAAATACGCAATAGGAAAGGAAAGATGACAGAGAGACATAGTTTGACTAATTTTACTGGGAACAGGTCCGGACTGTAGTCATTTGTTCTAGATTTGAGGACAGAGGAAAGCAGGTCTTCCGGTGAGATATTTTTAAAGGATTAAGTTTTTCAGGGGTCAATGAGCCAAGGTCTCGTCAAGTTATTTTCTTAGGATTAAATTTATTTGGGACGTTATAGAAAATTTTGATGAGGTCATGACGTGAAAGAAAAGCAACAGAGGATGATGAAATATTCTGGGATGACAATTAGAAAAGGTCGAGCCATGTACTCAGTAAATTGGGTATAGTGAGTGGGTTGCAACGGAATGATGAAAAGGTCAAGTGAGCAGATTAGGTCTACAAGGTATGATTTGTAAGCTGAGTCAGAGCATAAATTGGTGTTAAATTTACTGTTAATATTTTTTAATTTCAATAAATAGTAATGAAATGAAGCAAAAAACTGTCTTACCTATAACTTATGATACATATTTTAAAAATTATAGAACTCGGTAAATAAGAAAACAGAAAATCCTTAACCTGGTATTTTCATAAAAATTAACTCTAATAGATATAATAATGGAACCTTAAATCCACGTCTCGATAATATGAGTTGGATGGGAACAGGTCTACCTCAGATTATTGGGAAATAATATAAATATTTGAATACAATCACATTAACATATATTTTTGTGTGTATATACATACTTTTATAACATATGTACATATATAAATTTAAACCTTATATATCAAAATTATCTTCTGCTTTTTCCAGACCCCTCTTTCAGTAGCTGCACGCATACCATATTCCTTAAAAAAGAATGTCTGCAGGGGTGATTTTAATTTGCTGATACATATTTCAATGCTTCTCATCTTAATTTACTAAATCAAGATTATCATAGTTCCACACTATTCAGAAGTGTCCATGATTCCAGTTTCCACTTTCACTATTTATCTCACAATGACACCAAATGCTCCTATTGGCTTATCCATAATTGTCTTTACTGAAACACCTATATCTATACTAGACGTATTTAGTCTTGTCTTAAGGGGCAGAGAAGAAACATATTTCCACTAACAATATATCAGTAATACAAATGTATTCATTATGAAAAATTGTTAGTGAAGTAAAACCTCGATGGGAATAACATGTGGAAAACCATATAGGGAGCTTCCTGTTTCTTTTACTCTTTTCATAGGATAAATAAATACATGCCATACTTTAGAATATTTAAAAGATAAATATTTAAAGATTTTTAAGATTTATTTAAAGATTTATTAAAGATCTACTAATTTTTTTTTTTTTTTATGATTTGAATAGGATTTTTGAAGAATAAAAAAAAAATCATAAAAAGATCTCAGATTACTCTACTTAAATTCGAAAAGTTGAAATAAATCAATACCTGACCCCATAAACTCAAAATCAATAGCCAACTGTATCCTATAACATAACAACGCACCACATTTTAAATAAATCCAAAGTCATTATATTATATAGGGAGTTGAATGCTGAATATAGCTTTTAACTTATCAAGTCAGAAATATTTAGATTAATTTCATAAAAATCCAATAGAAAGTTTTTTTAAAAGGCCGAGTATGACAAAATATGTAAGGTAGATGAGAGCTTTGCTTCAATCCACTCCAACAAAAATACCAGAATATTGGTAATATACTGCTAAAAAAAAATAAACAGAGAAAAAGACATTTTTTACATACACCCCATTGATGATTTTAAGAAGAAAAACTATTAAAACTGAGCTCACAAAATCAAACCATTATGACAGAAGAAAATAAATAGTTGAAAACTTTTCTCATTAATGCATTATTTTTTAGAACTTCAAAAATCAGTCAAATAGCTATAAGAAATTAAGAAATAAATCAAAAATAAACGTTAACAATATAAATCTATGAAACATCAGTAAATAATCACACCATATGACACAACATAATAAATATTATTACATACAACCAAGCAACATCAATCGCATTGAAAATAATAGACAACAGGTTAAATTATAACAAACTAATTACATATATTAAGTCAAAATTTCATTATTTACAGAGGATTTTAAGAATATCCAACAATTTATTAAATAAAAAAATAATACAATAGACAAGTTATAAATAAATACAAAGAATTTATATAAATATATCATAGATACAGCGATCACAGGAATACCTCAAATCAACTTAATAGAGGAGATAAACCATTAGTAGAGAATATTCACTGATGAATTCCACAAAAACCCTTGAAAAAACCTCAATTTGCAGTTGTTTGAAGACTCTACAAATATTTAATGACAGATCATTCATACTTAAAATTGAGCAAATTTGAAATTTAATTGATTGATCATTTTTATTTAAACTAAACTTGAAAAAATCCTCACTCATTAGAAAATTTGCTTGAATGTTTATACATATGTATGCTTCAAAATACAGTAAATATATTATATACTTTTATAATTATGAACATAATGTTCTGAGAAGAAACTAAAAACAAATTATTAACAGTAAATGATATTTCACCTAGAAATTATATTTCTAACAATAACAAAATATTAATACAATTCAACCTACTTTAATAAATTCATACCTACTTTGTATTAGAAGAAAAGTAAAATTCTCTCTTTCAATAAAAAACGAAATACTGCCTGACAAACTTCAGATTTAAAAAAAAAATCTTTACTCATTTAAATAAGACATCTATTTGTATCTTATTTATTATGTGAATGTAAGTAATGTTGTGTGAAGAAAAAAATAAACAATTTTTAACAGTCAATTGTATTTCCCCCATAAATTTATCTTTCCAACAATATCAAAATATAACTAAAATTTAAGCTACTTCAATCAATTAATTCCAACCTTAAATCAGACAAAAAGACAGAAACAAAATACTGCCTGACTCAATGAAAATATAATGAGAATAATGAAACACTGAAGTCAAAAAATACAAATTAGCTGTTTATTTAATTTTAAAAAACGTAGATGCCCTTAATGTATAGAAACAATTTTTTTATATTTACAAGTAGGATTTACAAGAAATTTTTGCTCTATAAAAAAAAATCAAAATCAAACAAAAACATAATTTACTCAATCAGTTTCCTGGACTTGAAAAATTTTCTAAGATACAAAACTTGCCAAACAGAAAGACTTAGAAGACATATCATACTAAGGATGCTCAAGTAAAGAACCCTGTTGTTAGTTGATTCTGAAAAAATAAATCAATTTTATTAATATATTATTATGTAATCATTTATAAAATATCAATAATTTAAAAATTAATGCACCAACAATAAGAAGCTTATTAGATAAAGTTCTTCCCTAATCCAGCTCAATTAAATAATGAGTGATTACCATGTTAATAAATAAACCATGTAATAGAATATACAAAAAAAAAATAGACTCAAACTAAAAAACTGAAAAGACATTAGAATGAACTAAATTTTGAAGTTGAAAATAAAAAAAAAAAAAAAAATAGTAAATTATTTTGAGCATCACTTTAAATATTTAAAAGAAAATAAAAAAAATTAAATCCATTGAAGCAAATCATATATGTTCACTTACATATTAATATTAATGATGATTAAAATACCTATATACACTATTTACAAGCAGACGAAGGAACTCCAAGCCAGGTTTGTTCCTCCAACTATAGAGGGAAAAACAGGGCTCCAAAAGAGCCCTGTGCTATTCTCTCAACTGCGTTACTGGTGCTAAACCAGTTGAAGTTGAGCGAGTGACATACAATAGCGAAAGCCAGATAAACATATGTTTTGAGCAGAGAATCTGGCCATTGCCACAATTCCTATATAAAAATATACAAAAGGTTGCGGTGCCACTGTTTTAACCTCCTTGGAGGATTTTAGGGATGGGCAGTGGTATTTAGGGATTTTGCAAGGGGATTGGGATGATATTGGTTTATATAGGTTCATTTTTTTTTTTTTAATTTTACTCAGCTTTATTTTATTTTTTATTTATCGTATAAACTTTTTATTATTATTTAGTCGTTATTTTCCTTCTGTTTATTTTATCTTTTTTTTGTATATATAGTATGAAAGTGATCTTACTTCCTTATATTCATTGCCCAAGTGAATATTATATTACTCAATAAATAAATAAAAGATAAATTCTAAGATTGTTTTATTTATTAAAACACATATCCTTAGCTATTATTTATATAAATTTCAATTAGTACTTATTTTGTAACTAAATTCTATTTTTAACTAGGTCCAATGATGTTTGGATTGAACCACTGTTCTTCAGGGGAGTATTGAGAAAAATAACTTTTTAATTTCTTTTTTAATCCTTTGACTGCGGATGACATACAACCGCGGGCTCATTACCGCGTATGGGGAGCCTCCCACGGGTGGCGGATGCGGGGATGGTCAGTGGAAATTCCTTGGAAGTTCCTCCCGGCTAAGTCCGATGGACTCGCTGTGAGGGGCCCTCCAGACTTGCTGGAGGGAGGGGACCTCCAGACTTGCTGGAGGTAGGGGCCCACCAGACTTGCTGGAGGGTGTGACGTAGGATTGAACGCCCTACTCACATATCTTTAGTTCACCAAACACCACAAATAGTCATGGATCTCCCTAAGGTAAAACGCTCATTATCCGGAAGTAAACTAGTCCCCCATTCCGGTCTCCGGGTGGGGACTGCTTTAGGGGATTCATGGCGCAAGTTGAAATATAGGGATTTAAATATTAGTACGTGGAACGTAAAGAGTTTAAACACAGCAGGGGGGCTAAAATCGGTCGCGAATGAGGTGAATGGGTACAATTTGGATGTCGTGGCTCTGCAAGAGGTTCGCTGGCCAGGGGAGGGCTCGATGAGGGAAGGAAAGTACACTATTTGGTACGGAGGAAGCGGGAATCACTGTTTGGGTACCGGGTTTCTAATTAGGAGTAGATTACTATCCGCTTTGAGGGACGTACAATTCTTTAGTGATAGAATTTCGGTAGCCACATTTCAGGGACGTTGGTTTAAAATCTCATTAATAAACATACATTGTCCGACCGAAGACAGTGACGATGAAGTCAAAAGTGAATTTTACGATAAACTCGAATGGGTTTATGATAAAATACCGCGAAACTACATGAAAATAATTATAGGTGACGCGAACGCAAAGGTAGGAAGGGAAGAAGTTTATATTCCGACAATTGGTAAAGAAAGTTTGCACGAATATAGTAATGATAATGGGATCCGTCTGATAAACTTTGCCATCTTGAAAAACCTGATAATTAAAAGTATGACGTTTAAACATAAGGATATTCATAAATATACTTGGACATCACCGGATTCGCAAACACGAAATCAAATCGATCATGTCTTGATACAACATAGCTGGCAAAGCAGTATAATTAATGTACGGTCTTATCGCGGAGCAGAATGTGGGTCGGATCATGAATTAGTAATCGCGAAACTTCGACAAAAACTTAATATAAAAAAGAGAAAAGAAAACCGTTTTGATTTTGAGAATTTTAATTTGGAAAAATTAAAAAATCCATCAATTAGAAACCAATTCGAGCTAGATGTTAAGAATAGGTTTGAAGCTTTAGAGCTTCCTGACGAGGACCACGAGGATATTGACAAGTTATGGGTAGAGATCAGGGATAATATTAAAGCGGTCGGTAACTCGTGTCTAGGAAAAAAGGAAAATAAGAATAACAAACCGTGGTTTGATGAAGATTGCTTAAACATGTGCGAAAAACGAAAAGCCGCTAAATTAAAAGCTCTAAATAATCCTAGCGAAGACAATCTGGAATACTTCCGAACCTCAAAGAACGAAACGACAAAATTGCTCAAAAATAAAAAAAAGGGAGTATCTTAAAAATAAAATAATTGAAATAGAAACTAATAGAATCGAAAATAACGTAAGAGACATGTACAAAGGTATAAACAGATCACGTAAATGTACGATCGTAGGGCCCGTAACGTCTGGAATTAGGGATGATAATAACAATATTCTGACCGATCCGGTTGACATATTGAATAAATTTAAGGACCACTTTGACAATATTTTAAATACGGGAAATTATGATCTGTGTCCTCCTTCTGAGTACCAGAGTGCTGAACCGTTGATAGAAGAACCAAGTAAAGAGGAAGTTGAATTAGCTATCGGAAAATTAAAATCTTATAAAGCAGCGGGAACCGACAATATTAAGGGATGAGCAGATTAACATTAAGGGATGAGCAGCGTCTTAAGGTTTTTGAAAATAAGGTATTACGTAGAATATTCGGACCGAAGGATGAGTTAACCGGAGAGTTCAGACGGTTACACAACGCCGAATCGCGTGAACTGTATCCGAGTAATATAATTGAGATAATTTCATCGCGGCGAATCAAATGGGCTTGTAAAGTTGTTGGACTTAGTAACGAGAGAATTCCTAAAAGGTTAATATTTGCTGTGCCGAATGGTAAGCGTCCGAGGGGTAGACCGAAGCGAAGGTGGGAAGATTGCATTAAAGCTGATCTGAAGGGACTGGGTTTGGACGGCGAACGGTGGAGGGAGGTGTGTAATAAGCGATTGGTGGTGTCGGCATCGAACCTTCGGGTTCGCTAAGCCTTTTTATTATATTATTATTATTGACTGCGGATGGGATATATGCCCTCCCACCTTCACTATTTGACCACCATTCATTAGTCCCCTGTAGCTAATTCAGTATAGTCATTCCGGATTCTGACCATTTGGAAGCTATCAGTTGCAGATTAATTCTGAATCCAAGGTATGTCCTTTCTCTGTTGTTTGTGTCATATCCATGATCTTATTTATATTCTATTTAAATGTTTTATACATAAAATAAATGTTAATAAGATAATTGTATGATTTTTTCTTTATTTATTTTTAAATTTTGGTTTTGACTGAATGCTGATTTTGGTACACGTGAATTTCTGTCTGCTAAACAAATATAAACGTTAAAATGCATTTTTGAAAGCTAAGATCTTGCAGGTTAAAATATTATTTTAATCAAATTTATGCAAAAAAAAAATCTGTTTATTTTTTGGACATCTCTGTGGATTTCAGGATGCAATGGATGGTAGAAACTCGCAAATGAGCTCCCATATTCAAAGGGTTAATGCATTACTGTTAATATCTTTATACAAAGACACAAATACGTATGTGTATATATTGATCCTTAACAATAGAATCTGCTTTGAAGGGAAATAGTTCCTGAGAGTAGACAAATTCAAATACCTGACTTCTACAATAACCTCAATGAATAACCAACGATTGGAAATCAACCAGGGTATAACAAGCACTTTCAGAGCTTTCTTCTACATTTTAAAGCTATTGAAATCTAGAAAAATGTCAATCTGATGGTTGTACAATGTTGTGATGGACCAAGCAAGCTTTAAGAAGCAAGGAGAAGGACCAATAACGAACTTCTAGAAACTGATCAGTCAGCATCTCACCACATGAAGGCAATGAAGTTAAGATGCACAGGTCATGTAGCTCAAAGCAATCCATCAGGAAGCTCCTATACAAAAATCAATGCCTCAATATTAGGCGAGGTACTGAAAACCAAGTAGAAGGGCAAAAAACAGATGGATAAATTGAATCAACAAAGATAATATAGAGCTACAAGTAGATAACTGGAAAGATCTAGAATATAGGCAGAGAAGCAGAACGGTGATAAAAGGTTTGTGTGTTTATAAAATTTTATTTCTCCTATCTTTCCTCAAATTTAAAGCATTTTTTAAAGATAGTTTATTGAATACCTCAAATATCTTAATTCCTTTATGTATACAACTTTATTCTTTATAATATCTATTCAATCAAATTTATTGCTATTAATTCCTCACCGGCATTATATGTTTTGTTTTATTTAATATGAGTTTCAGCATTTTTGCGTTACAGACACAATTTATCAGCATAGTCAGGTACATGCATTAGCCACCTTGAGTTAAAAATTTCTCAATTTGAATTAACTTCCTGCTCTCATATTCTAGTGCTTAATTAAACAAAACTGGGGAAAGGGAGTTCACCTGTTTTAAACCTGAATGGATTTACACTTTACAGAATAAAAATTATCAATTGGAACTTCATTAATGTTTTGGACATTCACATCCTAACTAAATTAACTAGCTTTTTTGGTAATAATTCTAAAATATTACAAAAATCTGGCAGCAAACAAAATTTTAAGGCCTTGATAAAATGGATATAGAGCTGATGAAATAAACTGTGGTATTCATTTTCTCTAATATTTACTTAAACAAGTTGTTAACTTTTATAAAGAAAAAAATAAAAGATAAATCAGCATTGCCAATTTCAATTCTTTGGTAGCTGATAATGAAGATAACTTCAATATATTACAACTTGAAGATAGTAAAAAAAAATTAACATTCTTAGAAATCTATCTATCACAAATAAGTATCTATTAGCTATTACAAGAGGTGTAATGGTAGGCCCTAAAATGATGTATGTTGAGAAATCAACTTAATTCATTATTTCAATAAACTAAAAAAATCTGAATAGATTACCATTTGTATCTCTCATTGAAACTTCACGCTGTCTCATATCAGCAAAATCTTGAACAATGGATGAGGATAAGTCTTCAAGTCTTTTCAATTCAAGTTCCATTGGTTTTAGCTTTCCAGCTTCTCCCAGCTACATAGAAAACATAAAATGAAATAAAATAAACATACAAAATAAAGTCATCAAGTTTCTAAATAGATAATAAAAGATGACCACCAGTTTAAAGAAACATAAATTGTATTGATGTAAGATGTAAAATAAACTATTGCAAAAAATAAAATCAACAAATACATTTAGATTTTAATGGCTAATCTATTAACTCTTTAACTGGTAACAATGGCTATAGTCGCACCAACTGAACGTGCCACTGTTGCTAATGACCGCTGTAGTCGGAGTGTCCCACTCCTACTCTCAGTGCTAATGTCGGCTATAGACAGTGCTAGCATCGACTCTGCTACATTCTACTGGTTTTCTAGTGAAGTAAAACTTCTGACTAGAGACCACAGATGGAGTGGGGATTTATTTTGGAGCTTTTCATGTAGAATTAATTATCACCATTATGGGTTACTATCTGCTAGGGCCTTTCTCTGGCTGACTCAACCATATTTGTTCTTAGTTTTGCGTTCTATGTGAAACAACCTTGTGTTCAACTGCTCTCAGTTTTTTTTTTATAAATTTCAATTAGTTTAGTTTAGTTGTTTTGATAGTTGTTGTTGATAGTGATTATATCAAATAGGTAGTTTAGTTAGTTATGTGGCCATATAGATTAATTATTTTAGTTATTTTTTAGTACAGAGTTGGTCGTTTTTTTTTGTTTTATATTTCCTTATTGTTTTAAAAATGGAGTTTTACTGCTGCAGAAGCTGCCAAATTTATTACTACTGCCGAAAGTGGTGATGAATTCTTACCGTCATATTGAAGGGAGTGACAATGAAAGAAAAGAGAAAGACATTTTGATTCCTTCAACATTTTCACCTCCTTTAATTTAAACAGCTCCCTCAATGTCAATTATCACACAAAATTTAATTATTAAATAAATAATATAAACCTATAAAAAAAATTGAAAAAATTATTAGAAAAAAGTGTTAGCTCCGCCAGTGTCGGTCCACAGCCTGCATTTAATAGGACGACGAAATCAATAAAATAAAGTAGTAGTAAAAGGTGGTAAAAAAGAGTGAACAGCAGGTAAAAAGCATGTAGCACAAGCCAGTTGTCAGGCTGCCGGTTCTTTCAGCACTGTGGTGACATACAGCTCGTCACTAGCAGCAGCGGAAAGGTTAACACAATCCTATAGTTACTTTAAAAGATAACCGCTATTTATCAACAAGTAACTTCTATGATAATTAAAAGTGGATGTGGCATTATCCACTTTTAATTATTTAATTAATTTGAATACGGATCAGGCAAGTTGAAATTAACATGGGGCAGGGCAGACCCACAGGCAAATTTTTGATCTCACTTCAACTGGAATACATTAGTTAACTTTAAGATAGAGGTTCTAAAACTTTGGGGCATGGGTGCAATTATATTTTTAAAAAAAAGGTGTTGTATTATATTATAATACACAACTTGCAACATATATTTTCTTGGAAGTTGGATTAAAATTAATCATTAAAATGTAAATAAGGTTACATAAACAACAATATAAAATATTAATCACTTTGGTATCTCACAAGAGAACTTGGCTAAACTGTATACTAAATTAATAACACTTTCAGAGGCATATAGTGACAGTATGTCATTCATCACTTTCTGACACCAGGATATTAACCCGTAATCTTACATTGGAAATTTCACTACCTTTCAAAAAAACAGGCTAAACGGTGTTTTTCAGACTCAGGGGGATCTGAATTTAGTCCATACACGAAAATTGAAAGGACAATTATTAGAACATTATAGGAAAGTTTCATCAAAATCATTAGAGCAGTTTTCCGCGCCAGAGTATATAGAAAAACATGTTTTTAATTTATAGTGCATGGAGCACCCAATTTTTGTCACAGGCATCAGTAGTCAAAACCCTATGAAATAAAAAAAGAAGCAACCAAATCGGTTCAGTAGTTCCCGAGATCTTGGCAGATTAAATGTGTTTTTCGGACTCAGGGGGCTCTGAAACGAACAGATCCATCGAAAACTGTATATTGGAAATTTGACCCGATCACAATACTTTCCTTACCTGGTATAGGTAGGAAAGTAAAAATCTGATAAACTTGAGTTGTGTGTATGAATTTATTTTAAGGATAAAAGAAAGTTACTTACAGCTTCATAAGGTTTTGCTTCAACTCCACGTTGTGTATTCAGAGTAACATCTTGAGGAACACCCCTCTGATCTAAAAAATATCAGAAACTTAAAAGTTTACCAGCAAAAATTTTCAATAAAATTAGTAATTTTTTTCATTCTTATGGTTGGTTTCTAAACAGTGAGAGTGAGTAACTTGTCGTAATAGTGATTATGACAGCTACTTCATTATTAAAGAACTATAAATTATACCACAACAGGATATTAAATCTGTAAAAGTCGAATTCATTACGTTAATTATGTTTTTGATTTCATATAAAGTTAAAATGTTTATTTCAAATAAAGGAATTGAATGAAATATAACTGTTAATCTTGAAATGAAACACCTACCCTTGATAAGAAATTCGCAAGTGGAAGTAGACTAATATGATTTATGAAAAGTAACTTATTGAATATTTAAGGGGGTATAATGAGGGAAGAGATGGCCAAAAAATAACTTCACATAATGTAAACTAACTATAGAAGGAAGTTTATAGACTGTTCTACATATCATGGATGATAAATATTCAGGACGCAGTCATTATAAAGTTTTTATTGGTGCCCACATTTCAACCCAAACATGAGTATTTGAATACCATCTGTGCTCGAAACACGCCCTGATGATGACCCACATGTTAGGGTTGAAACGTCGGCACCAATAAAAACTTTATAATGACTGCGTCCTGAATATTTATCACCCATGAAAAACTAACTAAAGTATTTTTTTTTTATCACCACCTTGGACCATCCCTTCTTTCAAAGAAACTTATCTGAATCTCAATGAAAACGCCTCAGAGATATGGTCCCTAGAAAGCAGAAGATAAAGAAGCATTTGAGTTTAGCTCATGTCTAGAGGGGATGTAATGAACATTCCACAGACGTGTATATAAATTGAAAATTATGTGAAAAATTAATTGAACAGAAAAAATATTTATTTTGTATAGTTTTGAACATATTACAATAAGTAAATTGTCATTTTATTTTGTTTGAATATTTTTATTGATTGTTTGGTATTAAAGACGGTTTTTACATATTTTTGTTCATTCCTTTTTTAGTTTATATCATAAACGTTGAGCAATTGAAATGATTTTTATTTATTAACTACTTAGTTTTAAATATGAAAATTAATGTATTGTAGTCTGCTTTGTAATTTCTATTCAATTTAATATAACTTATTTTTTTTTATATTTTTCTTCATAGAATCCATTAGTTAGTATAGAGAACATAAATAAAATAATGGTTTACACCACAATGATAACAGTTGAAACTAAAGATGAAAGTTAAGAGGAGAAATTACCAACAGAATTTTGCAGAAATGGCAGAATGGAGGAACACAAATTTAAAAAAAATAGGAATACAGTTTATAAAATTAACTTAAGAAAAAATGTAAACAAATTTTAAAAAATAGGAATAGAGTAGAGTTTAGAAAGTTAACTTAAGAAAATTGTAATGGAGTTGGTATTCATTATTGGAACATCGGATATAAATTATTACTCAAATGCAGACATTTTTGAGTTTTCATTAAAATTTTCGTAATTCAACTACCAGATATTAATTTTGAAAAAAAAAAAGAAATAATTAATAAAAAATCTGTTTTCATTTTTACTTTATTAAGTTGAATTAACCAGACAAAATATCTTATTAAAATTACATTAAATTTAATTAACTTGTAGGATTCAGTAAAACTAAGATAGATTTGGTTACAAAAGGGAATAACTTACGTGGAGGAACCCGTGACTTAAAACATATTTCAAAAATATCTTCATGCTCTGTAGAAAATGAAAACTTCCCCTTTCCTGCATCAATGTTCTGGTCTAAAATCTCATTTTTTGAGTCTGTAACCTATGAACAGTACATTAATGATTGATATTTTATTAATCAATAAAACATTTGTACATAAAGAATTTTAAACTATAACTGAAATCCTACACCTAATTTTAATAGCTTTTATTTTCTAATAATCAACTTAATTCTGGTTTCATTATTCATTTATGTTAGCAGACAGGCAGTTAACCTGGGAGAGCTCCCAGAATAGAAAAGAGGATGCACCACATCTTGTTATGAAATTTTTACACTCAAATCTTTTGGTTTTGACTACATATAAATTTTTAAATACACAAAAAATAAAATTATCATAATGTTTATTAACGATAAAGGAATAATTAAAAACCAAAATAAATTAAAAAAAAAAATTAATCCAGTAAGCAATGGGTTGCTTGGCACACTTAAGTCTCTATTTTTACCTGCAGTGGAAGTATCAAAATATTGTTCTTTTGCATGTATTTCATTCTTATAGATATTTCTACAAAGTCACTCATTTAATATAATTATTTACCTAAAAAAAATTTGTTAAAATTGGCAATTTTAAAAGTTTTATGATTTTTCATTATTATCCCCAACTCATCACTATAACGGATAACCACAAACATTAAAACAAAATTTAAAGAGAGGCTTGATCCCATGGTGACTTGACAATTTGTCCTAAAATGAGAGAGAGAAAGTATAAGACTATAAAAGTTGTTCTTTTACAAATATATGAGCATCCAGGTTCTTTTCATGATTATACAATTTTCCAATATAACTGTGGAATAATCAATAGATAATGAAACAATGAATAAAAAAAAAATCTTGAATGAAAAAAAGGCTTTGAGATCATTGACAGAAAATTATAAACAAATGTTAAAATTACAAGTACACAAATTTAACAATGAGTATAGATTTTAAAAAAATAAATGAGAAAATAAGAATAAATAAAGATCAGAATAGATAAAAAATATCCGCTTAGTTAAAATGGATAGTAAATTAGTAATTAATTGGTAAAAAAAAAAGTAATATCAGATAAATAAAATTATGGTAATATTATAGTAGAAACATCGGATGACAGATGTGTTAAGACATCTATGACGCTGTACACGGAATGTAGAAGTTACCCATGAGAGTTTGTCTTCTGACAAGTTAACATTTCCAATAAATATTAAAAAGTAAACAAATCAGACTAACTAAATTGGAATGGAGAGAGTTGCTATTTAAAACAATAAATTAATCATTAAAATAGCCAAATGTAGAAAAAAAAAAAAAAAAGAAATACATAAACATCTATCTTTAACCTTTGAACTGTAAAGTACACCGTAAACACATAGTAAATTATTTAAAACATTTACAGCAGTCTACAAATAGCAAGTTGGTTATTTTCCCTATATATTTTTTTTATTCTTCATAGTGAACAAGAAACAACAAACACAATTAACAGTAAGATCTTTTCTTGGAAACTCTTAAGTTTTCAATATTGAAATGGCCATTTGACAGAATTTCTAACTAATAAATTTCTATTTGATTTTCATTACCATGCGCACATTACAATTGCTAATATCATGATTTTAATTAATGAAAACATGAACATTGTTTTTCTAACCATATGTGACAAAATAATTAACACCACCATTTACATTAGGGTTAGTTATTAAATAATTATTATCCAAGACTATTAATGAGAAGGTTAGGAGTTTGGCAGCCTCCAGATTCTTGTAGACATATTCTGATAACTTAATTTAGACATCCTATGAACATTTTGATTGATGATCTAGGCCCCATTATAAACCAAATGTGACATTAATAACTAATAATTTTCAGAAAAAGATAAGTACCGCATATAGATAAGTTAGAATTGTAATTTTACAAAATATGATAAGAGGACATTTTAGTTATAACTAGAAAACACAAAATATAGAAATTAAATATACATATTAACATAATATATATAGAATTGAAAACAAAAACACATGATATTAGAAGTCAAAGTTTCCGAAAATATGCAGTAGTACCAAAAATATTAAGATTAACAATATTATGAACTAAAACATCTGCTAGTTTTATTACTTAAATAAATGTTAACTGTAACTAAAGATAAAAATAATAATAATAATGAAAACATACAACATAATCAACTTTCTGCCCTGGAACATGAGTAATTTCAAATGATCCAACTATTAAAACATCTTTTTTTAATTCTTCGCGAAGGCACTTCTGTGTATTGGGATGAAGTTGAAACATAATAGATTCAACAAAACTAAAACTAGCTAAACTAGCGAAAAACAAAATAAACGTATTCATTTTCGACTACAACCTATGAATTTTGAGGAAATAATTTACTGTCACATATACACCATAATAGTACAACACTAATCCGAACAGAGACTAGTTGGAATCACTAACAGCACCACCACACGTGGCGTCAAAACATTGGTCTCTAAGATAGTACAATCGCGTATTTGTAAATCGATATTAAAACTGTATATATTTGATAGAAAAAAAGATATTACACTACATAACAAATTCCAAGAATAAAAAAAATACTTTTAATTCATATAACAACCTATTACAACTATTTTATAGATATTCAAGTCATGCAATAAATAATGGTAGATATAAGAATCTTGGCATAAAAATTAATCATTTTTAGCCTTGGTCGTTCATTATTTTCATATAAAGATAAGGGACAAAATATTTTAATATTAAGTCTATCGAAAAAAAATAGAAACAATCAATTTTTTCCCTCTATTCATGATAACATAGTTGTGAATCTACAAACATTTAGGCTGTTTTCTAATGTTGTAGTTTTATTGGTATTAGTCTCTGATTGTATTGTGGAATCTCCAGCAGACGCCAGGTGTCAAGTTGATAAGGGGTCTGTTAGAACAAGCAGTTCTGGACTGTTTTCGTATGTGCAGGACAGGTTTTGTGGCCTTGTTAGAACTGCTTGTTGGAACAGACACATGGATACCTCTACCAATCTGTCTGATGGTAGAAGCCATTAGCATCTTCTGGATTCGACTAGAGTAGCTTAAATCTAAAAGAGGGTGGTATTTAGTCACTTCAATCCGAAGAAAGGAGTGCTATGCCTCTGTAATTACCAAGCTTCTTGTATCCTTTCATCCTTATATTTTCGTTAGTTGTAGTAGCTGCACTCTGAAGTATTTTTTTCCATCTTTAAAGAGGTCTTAAGGTAGACTATTCCTGAGGCATTCTTTTAAGCCTATAGCTATTTCCACAAACATATTAATCTCTTATGGATCGGGACCCTCAGCGTGGTCCATGTCTTCTGCTTTTATGGATTCCTTTGATTGAGGGGCTGTTGGTAATGTTAATATCTTATCTTTTGATGCCGTCTGTTTACAATATTTTCCTCTCATTCGCATGTTTGCCGTTTTATGTCAAACCTTCGTTTCTGATTTCAGCGTATAATTCGCATATATTTGCAACCTGCCAGTTGTCTTTAACGGTTTTTAGTATTTTTTCGAGAAATTCTTTCATTTTTCTCTTTTCTGGCGCCAGTTATTTGTCCAGAGTAACTTAGTTTTGGCTAGTCAGGTATTGGTTTTTCTAATACAAAATTTTCCTATCACTACCAAGCTGAAGCCGGTGTTCCTCAAGATGGCGTCTTGGGCCCCGTCCTTTATATCCTTTTTACCGCTGATATCCCTATCTATTCCGATACCTTCCTGGCAACATTTGCTGATGATACCGCTATCCTATCATCCAACTCAGATTCCGAAATAGCATTCTTAAATTTGCGAAGACACCTCTCCCTGATTGAGCACTGGTGTAATAAATGGTGCATCAAAGTAAATGATTCCAAATGCCAACATATTACCTTTACACTCCGGCGCAATTAGTGTCCATCATCAGCCTTAATTCTATCCTGCTTCCTTTCTCAGACACAGTCTGGTAGATTCTCTTACACCGAAGACTATCGTGGAACTCACACACTTGACTTAAAAGCCTTTACTTAATAGCCGATACGGCCAATTATACTGACTACTGAATAGAAAAAAATTATCTTTATTATTTTAATAAGCGAAACTTTACGTACATTTCTAAATAGTACTAATTAAGTTTACTTATTACTGATTTGGCCAGTATTAGAGATAGTTTCAAGTCATATTTTGTAGCTCATTGGCAATCCCCAAATCAAGATTCTTTTTCATTTGTTTTAGTAAAAAACGTCAAGTTGGGTCTCTCATCCTCTTACTGGTTCATGGAAAGGCTCTAGTGCTTACCATCTTTTAGTTTATAAAGTAAATTAAGACAATTGGTGATCAATTTACCTTGAACATGTAAACAAAAGATATATACAATGCAGAGTTCAAATCAAATTTCATGAACAATAAATACCTCATTTAAGTTACAATGCTGCACCTAATGCGCACTAGAAATGCGCTCATTGTGCAAAAAACAATATTTTCCATTTTCTGAAATACAACATGTGATACTTTGATTTGGATGTAGTATTTAGTACTGAATCATGATGTGATATTATCTTTTCAAGAAAACGTATTGGTATAAAATAATCAATGTCAATATAAGAAAAAACGGGTTTAAGTCCAAAAAAAGTGAAATATAAAATATTATATTTTATTTTATTTATTTATTTATTTAGAAATATAACAATCTGTCACGTGGACAATAATTATAGTGATATATGACATAACACCTACATACCATATATACAGAAAAATAAAATTAACAAAAGTAAAATAATAATCAAAAACTATGTACAATAATAAAAAATAAAATAACCTAACGATAAAACAGTCACACCTACGCTGACAAGCAAAAAATTCCACCCACTTGATTTTTTCATGTTTTCATCTAAAAATATTTCTGATTTGGATTGGTTTTTAATGAATAAATAAGTTTTCTTTTTGTTTGTTTTCAATCAGGAATGTTAATATAGAGGGCAATAACAGTTAATCCTTAATTCAATGAAATGATTTTAGATTCCATTGTTTACTTTCTATGGAATCAAAATGTTTATTCAGAATCATTAGTTCAGTGCCGTTTCTTGCAGTACATTTCTTAGTCTCCGGCTTTTAATTTTTTCAATATTAACTTTAAAAATAGTCGATCTGAAAATGGCCGCAACTACAGTTTAGTGCTTGCATCGCTCTGTCTTCTCAACTGGCTAACTCCTTCTCAACTGGCTAATTCTGCAAATACTGCTGCTATAATTTGTGAACAGTGAGCTTTTGTAGATTTAAACATTTTCACATTAAATAGTGAGGTGAGAGATATTTATTAACAATTATGTTTAATAGTTAATTGATACTAGTTCGGTAGAGACAGCACAGCTGATCGGTAATTCCCTTAACGGGTCTTGCCTTATCTACGTAAGATACACGGCCAAGGCTCTATTTACTAACACTACTTCCTTCGAGTGATATCGAGTTCGTATCCAAACTGATAAACTATTTTTTTTTCTTTTTTCTTCTCTCTTTATTTTATTTGTTTATTTTACTCTAAGACTTTTACTTTGGTTTAATTATGTATATTGCGATTTTTTCTTACTTTAACTGTAAATAACGTAAATAGCTTAGTTTCAAGAATTTATTTCGTAATTTTTTTTTTTAGTGTTATAACAGGAACAGATTTTTTTTTTTTTTCTCTCATTATGGAACCTGACAATACGTCTGTTGAAGAATCGGAGGAAGAGACACCATTTTCCGAAGTCAGTGAGACCGATTCACAATATTTAAAAAGAAGGACTCTTCAAAAGCGCAATCGAAACTCTGCCCCCGGTTCAGCGGGCAACTCTCCAAATAAGAAAAAAAATAAATCGACCAAATCAAAAAAGGCATCTGAAACAAACAAAAATACACCAAACACGCGTAGCAAAATCACTTCAGCCATCAAATCAGAATCAATTTCACCAAACACCTCAATCAGTAACTCTGTTACAGCCAACAATACTACAAACAAGATTCTGGAGCCAAAAGAAACTTGTGATCTTGAACCGCCACCCATCTTCGTCGCAAAAATTGAAAATTTTATGTCCTTCGGAAAAGAAATCGCTGATCTGATTGGGCAGCCAAATTTTACATGTTTTTCAAGAGTCAATGATATTAAAATAAATACCAACTCTAAAGAAAATTACAAAATATTAATTGAACATTTTACTTCACGAAAATACGATTTCCATTGTTACCAACTGAGACAGGAAAAAGCATACAGAGTCGTATTAAGAGGGCTTCATCCAACTACTTCTATAAGCGCAATCAAAATGGGTTTGGAAGAAATAGGCCATAGCGTAAGGAACATAGCTACCGTGCTTCATCCTAAGGAAAAATACCCGCTACCGCTATTTTTCATAGATCTCGAACCTGCAAAAAACAACCCGGAAATTTTTAACGTAAAGCGTCTTTTATATTCAATAGTCCGTTTTGAAGAGCCCAGACAAAGACCTATAGTAGTGCAATGCACTAACTGTCAAAATTTGGGACACACAACAGCCTACTGCCATCATCAGGCCAGATGCGTCAAATGTGCTGGGGCACATCCGTCTGATATTTGCCAGAAACCAAGGCAAGAGGCTGCTATATGTGCACTTTGTGGCGAGGGACACCCAGCGAGCTACAGAGGTTGCGCAGTTTATAAAAATCTTCTGAAGCTGAGATCACATAATATGGCTTTGAAAAGCCTTAGCCTTGATCATAAAAGTGGGACTGAGGCTCCCGCAATCGATGATAGAACAAATTTCCCAGCACTGCCGTCGTCACCTTCTCAAGTCATCCAGCCTCAACCATCCATCTCCACAGCTACGGAGTATCCTCAACAGGGTTCGAGAAATTTATATCTCCAAACCACCATCAAGAACCAGCAGCCTCGACGACAGGCGCCTCAGGCTTCCCAATCCAAGCCTAAAACTGCTAAACCTCAGCATCAACCTCCTCGTCCGCAAATCCCTCTTCACCAACTACCCTTAAGGGTCAAACTCCAGCCAGAGCATCCACCCCCAGTTCCATCCGTTCCTAATCCCAATGTAAACATCCCATCACAAGCCCAACAGAATATAGATCCAACTCCTCGCATCCCACGTCGGGCACATCCCCCTTCCAGCAATCCTAGTCGCACAAATTACCCATCAGATCCTCCAGACCTAAATCCACTTCACAGCCAAAAACCTTCCGACATCAATTCTGTCCTTTCAACATTCCTGATAGATCTTCAAGAGATTATCAAACCGCTTATTACCCTCCTCACCAGACTCCTTTCCGATATCCCGTTCAACTTCCCCCGATGAATACAAAGCCCCTAACTATCCTTTTATGGAACGCTAATGGACTAGTCAACCACCGACACGAACTAGACTTATTTCTCCATGACAATCTCATTGACATTGCCCTCCTGACTGAAACTCACTTCACTCAACGGACACATTTCTACATACATGACTACATCACTTACAGATCTGACCACCCAGATAACACTT